TCTTGCAGAAATCAAACTAGATTCTTCCATTACAAGTTGCCGTGGGAACTTTGCCACCCATAGTGATAATAGGATCTGTGTGTGATCGGGTTTGAGAGTCCTAGGGGGCATTTTGGAAATTTGTAGGGAGTATTTTGGTTAGCACAATGTTGGGAAGGGGCTATGCTACTGGCTTAGTGGGTAAGGATCAGGTAATTCAGACATCTTGCAGGGTTTTTTTTTACAAGGAATTTCACAAAAAGCTCAGGTGTTTAGGGGAAGGTCATTATGGAGGGGAAGCTTAAATGAAGACTGATACTGTCTTGATCTTATAAAATAACATACTCTGCACGATGTCTAGTTAATGTAGTACAACTACTTCAAAAACAATGAAACCAGCTGCAAATACAACAGGATATTGGAGACGCCTTTTAACCTAGTTAGAAAGAAATGCTAAATTGACAGGCACATGAAATTTAGAGATCTCACTGGATTTCATTAACAAAGGCTATTTTAAAACTAAAACTAATACTTCCATCCTACAGACTTAAATTTTTTTTTTGGCATAAGGGGATTACTGGTTTTTTCCATTTTATTTTCATGCTGTCCTCAGACATGCACCCCACAAATCCCCTGCAGCCTATCCTCCTTTGCCAATCCACCCTTTTTCCATTGCCCATTAAAAGATAGGGTCTCCAAGTGTGTTTTAAGTATTAGAGACTAAATCTATGTAAAGGTGGGCTCCTGGGTGGCTCAGTTGGTTAAGCGACTGCCTTCGGCTCAGGTCATGATCCTGGAGTCCAGGGATTGAGTCCCACATCGCGCTCCCCGCTCAGCGGGGAGTCTGCTTCTCCCTCTGACCCTCTCCCCTCTCATGCTCTCTATCTCATTCTCTCTCAAATAAATAAAATCTTTAAAATAAATAAATAGGGCGCCTGGGTGGCTCAGTTGGTTAAGCGACTGCCTTCGGCTCAGGTCATGATCCTGGAGTCCCAGGATCGAGTCCCACATCGGGCTCCCTGCTTGGCGAGGAGCCTGCTTCTCCCTCTAACCCTCCCCCCTCTCATGTACTCTCTCTCTCTCTCATTCTCACTCTCTCAAAATAAATAAATAAATCTTTAAAAAAAAATTAAAAAAATAAATAAATAAATAAATTTATGTAAAAGTAAAATCTCAAGTGTGAAAATATGTTTTCTGTAATACTCTGTCATCAGCTATACCCCACCCCACTGTATAACAAGAAAAAAAATGTTTTTAAAGCTCAGCTCATTTGTGAGAATATCACAAGCTCCTTATTTTCATATCCAAACTTCTCATATATATATAAACTTCCATATTTTATCTTAAGACCGTATAATCTGTCTTTCCAGACTTCTTCCATTTCCCTGTTCTGCTTATCATTAATAAATCAGTCTAGCCTGTTATTACTTAATGCCCATTTTCTTAGAGGGGGAGGGGGAGAGGAAGAGAAAGAATCCTTTTTTTTAAATTTTTTTTTAAAGATTTTATTTATTTATTTGACAGAGAGAGACACAGCGAGAGCAGGAACACAAGCAGGGGAAGTGGGGGAGGGAGAAGCAGGCTTCCCGTGGAGCAGGGAGCCCGATGTGGGGCTCGATCCCAGGACCCTGGGACCATGACCTGCGCCAAAGGCAGACGTTTAACTGATTGGGCCACCGAGGCGCCCAGGAGAGAGAGAATCCTAAGTAGACTCCTTGCCCAGCCTGGAGCTCAGAGCGGGACTTGATCCCACGACCCTGAGATCATGATCCGTGCTAAAATCAAGAGTCGGACGCTTAATCGACTGAACCACCAGGCGCCCTCTTAATGCCTTTAAAACCTAGTGTCCACCTGTATCTCTGCTCTTTTATCTTCCTATACTTTTTCTACTGTGCAACTCTCTTAAACTCAAGCTTATATTCATTACTAGTATCGTATCTGCAAAGAGGGAGAAAGGAAATCACTGAGTTGGGAGCTTTGGAATAGGGAAGCAGGGAGAATGCAATTGAGAGTTGACAATGGATGCATAAAAGGACAATCAGTGAAAATTGGACAGCATGAATTTGGACTGGAGATGGTCACCCTTGTTTCTTGACTGGCCACAATAAATCGAGCTGCTCAGAAGCAGAGAAAAAAAAAAATGAGAGGACTAGGGCTGATGGCAGGCATGCTAAACTTGATCATATCACTTCTCGGCTTACAATCCTTCAAAAGCTCCCCTTTAATAACAATACGATCATGAGAAATCAGTCTGACAGAAGGACATATTTCTCTAGCGTCTTCTTGTACCATTCCCCCTTTGGCTTTCAAAGCCCCCCCCCCCCGGACCCCCCCCAGGCCAATTTCTTCCATCCTAAAGGCTTTTTGCACATACCATTCCTTTCATCTGTCACCTCCAATTCTTCCCATCCCCCACCCATTGCTTCAGCTTAAAAATCACTTCCTCAGAGAAGCCTTTCCTGACCCCCAAATCCAATCAGGGCACTCTATCAAAATAGTCTTTCGACATATGCTTTATTTGTCTTTCATTAGACCTTATGTTCATTTGTATGAATACCTTTTCAGGCATGGAAATAGCTCTGTGGAGGCAAGCACTTGGTCTACTTTGTTGACTGCTAAATTCCCAGCATCTAGCCTAGTGCCTATCACCAACAGGAACAGCAGAACTATTCGTTCACTCATTCAATACATTTATTGAGTTTACTGAATGAGTGAATGAATGTTCGGAAGTTAGCTATGGGACTTTAGAAAAGTTTTTTATTGTAATTACACCTCCATTTTCTCATCTGCTAAATGGGGCAATGATACTAATTTTTAACCTCAGGATTGCCGTGTGGATTAAAAGAGACAATGCCTGCCTACCATGGTTTCTGGCATTATAGTGGGGGCTAGGAAATGTTAGTTCTTATCATCATTAAAAATAAGCTCTATGGGGTGCCTGGGTGGCTCAGATGGTTAAGCGTCTGCTTTCGGCTCAGGTCATGATCCCAGGGTCCTGGGATCGAGTCCCGCACTGGGCTCCCTGCTCCTTGGGAGCCTGCTTCTCCCTCTGCTTCTCTCTCTCTCTCTCTCTGTCTTTCATGAATAAATAAATAAAATCTTTTAAAAAACAATAAGCTCTATGAGCAACCAGAACTCTCATACAGCACCGGTAGGAATGCAAAAATTATACAGCCACTTTGGAAAAACAGTTTACCAGTTTCTTACAGAGTTTAACACGGATTTTCCATACAATCCAGCAATCCCACTTCTGGGTATTTACCCAAATAAAATGAAAACTTTTGTTCACACAAAACCTGCTCACGAATGTTTATATCAGCTTTATTCACCACTGTCAAAAACTGGAAACAACCCAAATGTTCTTCAAACAAGGAATGGATAAATAAATTGTGGTATAGCCACATACAATGCCACTCAGGAAGAAGGAATGAACTACTGATACATGCACAACATGGTTGAAACGCAACAGCTTCATGCTAGGTGAAAGAAGCCAGACTCAAAAGGCGACATGTTCTATCATTCCATTTATATGATGTTCTAAAAAAGCCAAACTGTAGGGACAGAAATCAGGTCAGTGGTTGCCAGGCAATGGGGTGGAGCACGAGGGAATTTGGAGGAATGAACAGAACTGTCCTAGGACTTGACTGGATGGTAGTGACATGACTATATGCATTTATAAAAACTCATGGCATTATAAGCTGAAAGGTCAATTTTATATGCCCTGATATAAAAGATAAAGATCCAAAACAGGTGGATAAAATTACCTTTTCCTTTAAAAAAAACTATTATAAAAGTACTACAGGCTATTTGTAGACATTTTTGGAAATTGTACAAAAAGGGTACATTCCATCACCCACAGAACAGTACTATTTCTTTTCTATCATTTTCATCCGTGCAAAATACACATAAACTGGGACCACGCTGTACATTTTTGCTTTCTCAAATGTACATTTTACTTTCTGGTATATATTAAGCACATTTTTCCATGTCATTAAGTAACTTTCAAAACCATGATTTTATAGTCAGTACCATTTTATTGTATAGCCCACTTATATTTTTAAGGCTTCCCTTATTGTTAGAAATTGCTTCCACGTTTTTACTACAAACAACTTCGATAAAATTAAAAAAAGAAAAGCTGAGTGGGGCCAGGGACTCTTCCATTTCGCAATTTCACAATGTTTAACAAGTAAAACAACCCTTCCTTGGCTGCCTTCGCCTCATTGCTTTAAGTGTCTGGAGGAAAAGTGGTTCCACAGGGTGATCTGGCCTCTCTTTCCTTTGCGGTGCATGAGAGCTAGGCACCCTAATATTGCCTGTATTACTAGCTTAAATTTGCATAGCGCTTTTTATCCTTGCAGCTTACGCAGGGCAGATGGAGTGATTTGCTCAAGAACCCACAGCCTATCTATCAGTCTTGGAATGGGACTTAGACTCCAGATATTGAGTCTCAGAAAGTAAACATTCCCCAGCGGCGGAGCACTGTCTAATCTGGCTCTTCACGCCCACCAATCCCCCCCCCCGCCCCAAGGAGAAGCTGCAGACACCCCCAGAAAACTCTGCCTAGAGGCTTGGCACATGGGGCACTTAACTGTCAAGTGAACGCTGTCCCTCCGACCAACTGTCCTTGGCAACATCGCCACTTACCAGCTGGGGTCATTCCTCCCACCGGTGGCAGGGGGGACACCTACTGCCACTGACCAAGGGGGCCCTGGGAGCCGTAGGATCGCCGGCTTCGCGGCCTGTGAGGGTTGCTGTCAGTCGGTCGCGGCGCTGTCGGGGCTTACCCTCACTTGGGGGTCCTGCCAGGGCGGTCAGGCCCGCCCCAACACCGGCGCCTTCAGTGGGGGGCGCGCCCTCGGCGAGGCGAAGCGGGACCCCATCATGTTAAGGAGAGCTGAGGGCAGGCAGGAGCCGCCGGACCACAGGGCTGCCCCGGGAGACTCCCGGAACGTGACGGGAATGCCTCCTGGGGGCGACCAGAGGTCAGTCCTCCGCTATCCCAGAGTGCCCCGGATCCCGGAAGTGCCCGGCTTTCCGGAAGTGCCCGCTCGCTGACAGAGAAGGGCTTTGCCAGAACGCGGCAAGGAGAGGGTTGTGGTTCTGGAGCTTTGGGTGACGGCTGCAGGAGCGACTCGGGGTTGAGGTGGGCTTCAGGAGAGAGCCGGGCGGCGGGATGATGGAAGAGGAGGAACTGGAGTTCGTAGAGGAGCTGGAAGCCGTGCTGCAGCTCACGCCTGACGTGCAGCTCGCCATCGAGCAGGTGAGCGTTCCGCCCCCTGAGGGGAGGAGAGCGGAGGCTGGGGAAGTCTGGGGGTGGGACCCGGGGTGGGACCCGGAGGAAGCGCTCTTTGGACGGAGAGGTGGGAACTAGGCGCTGAAGGGAAAGGAAAGGTTTGGGGGGAGGTGGTGGTGGGAAGGAGTTTCTGAATCTAAGGGAGGGAGAGAGCCCTTTTTAGGCCTTGATTGTCTTTGGAGGGTAAGGCGTCCTGGTGGGTTTGGGCAAAGGAACCGTGAAAGCCCCTGGAAAGCATGAACCTGGAAGAAGGGAGTTCATGGACACCAACCTCAGATTTGGGGGGTTATTTACCAGGCTGGTGTGCCGCTGCTCCCGATTCTCAATCTAGTCCTTTGTGAGGGACTCGGAATTGAGAGGAGGAGCAACTTTAATACCTGAAGCGGATCGCTGAGCAGAGGGGACAAGGTTGAAAAAGGACCCCTTTACTGTACTTAAATGGTTGAGAATTCCTGCTATTGATTAGTTGGGATTAGATTGAAGAATATTCCCCGGAGGCCTTCGTCCCTTCAAGGACTCTTTGGTTGACTAAATTCTCTTTTCAAGTTTATTGAGTTTTTAAGAGTAATGATATTAGAAAGAGTCATTTAGACCCTTGTGCAGGGTATTGCTCTTGATAAAGGGAGAGGATTTCCCTTAAAGGAATTGGTGTAGGGAATAAGATTGAAGAAAAGGAGGGTTATGCCACATTTAGGGACCACCGGGAAGTTTTTTGAAGTAAAGCATTGCTACTGTCATTGCTAATCGTTAATATTTATTGAGCATTAACACTCTAGGTCTGTCATTGTACTAATTTATTTGTGTTGTGCCATTTATAGATTTTTGGATGTGTGTTTTTCTACCAGTGGTTGGATTACCCATACAAAGCACATTTGGTACATCCTGAGATGCCAGACTGTTGGGCAAAGGTTTAGTTGTTCAGGCCACAGCTCCCCACCCACCTGCATCGGACAAAAGAAGACATGTATTTCATTTTCTCTTTGGATCTAGTGCGCTGTAATAGAAGAAACAAACAATGCAGTCAATTACCGTTTGGCAAGGATTTTAGAAGAGCACATTTTTGCTCTATTCTTAATAAGACAGTTCTAGCATAAGTTTATCTAATAAGCAGACATCAGAAAAGAATTGGCTTTCAGAATGACTATTTTGAGCTGGTGAAAGTCAGTGCTCGGGATCACGTGACTGCTTTTTTTTTTTAATTTTTTACCTTTTATTTATTTGTCCGAGAGAGAGAGAGAGAGAGAGAGAGAGCAAGCACAAGCAGGGGGAGCGGCAGGCAGAGGGAGAAGCAGGCTCCCAGGACCTTGGGATCATGACCTGAGCCAAAGGCAGACGCTTAACTGCCTGAGCCACC